TTTATTGTGTACTTCTACCAAATATTTCATTCTGTTTCAAAACTGTCAAATCCTTTTCTCCATGTGCTGCTGTCAGTAGCAGTTCCTTGATATTATATGGTAAACGGCCACATGATAGGACCAATTTGAAACCTTTATTGGACCATATTAAAAGGTATATAAACATAACACTAAATTAGTCACTGAGAGCACGAGGCAACTCCAGCCATGTAAATGTAAATCTAATAATAATCAATAATAACACAAGTCAAAAACTGTTTTAAATTACTTATTAGGCAGTTTATTGCATAATATTTTAAGAGATTTGTTATATTTGTACATTGTGCACACAGCTAGTTTGTAGTTTGATTTACATTAAGAATTGTGTCATCATCATCGTCTTAATTATACTCATTGGTGCTGAAAATAAATATGTAACAGCTGACACTGACACAATGGAGTTTGCACTCCATTAGAGTTAATTCCATGTCCAACAAATTATAAAGCAAAAATAAATTGCATTAAAAGCATAATACATACCTACTACCTCCATCATTTATGTACCTGCTTTAACTTTTTCTTTTTTTTTCCTAAAGTTTTTTATGCCTTGGCCTTTTTTTGGCTTTATAAAACTAAAAATTTCAAGAGGTATTAGAATTTAACCATTAGGGCTATTATTGTTTTGCCTTTGTATTTGCATTTATATTTATGTCATAAAATACTTAAAATAAAAATTTTAGTCACTTTCTGTGGTGTACTCTCATGTGACAATGAAGAAAAGACAATTTTCAGAGATTTTAAAAAAGAAAACAATTGAATGACAGGTTTGACAGATTGTTATACAATACAGCAGCATGCCAAGCAGTCTTAGAAATGTCTAGTAGTGTTTCCGCAAATTTCCCCGTTGTGGGATTAATAAAGGATTATCTTATCTTATCTTCCCTGTCCTGGTCCTGGAGTACCCTTGGCCTGCACATTTAGTTGTTTGCCTGCACACAACACACCTCATCCAACTAACAGGCTACACTGATTTTGAGGGACTTTGTCACATCTGGCATAATTTCACCTTTAGGTACAGTTGAGTAGTTGTTGCCATTTATGGATGTCATGTAGTATGACCTCATGAAAACACTAGAAAATTGTATCTGAAAATCTGTTATTATACATTTCCTAGTAAATGTGTTGTTATCTCTGTCTATATGTCTTGCACTGGCTTTTTCTGTGGTTTTAAACTCAATTTATGATTAATATAAGTTAAATAATTTATTGTAGCTTAATTTGGCATTAAATTCCCTGCAACTCTTCTTTTTCCCTAAATATTTCCTAGAATTTAAAGACAGCAGAGCTATTACTGAAACTAAAGCATCATTTATCATTTTGAAAAAGTAAGGAAAAATTTTAAATACTATCTAAAATGTAATGTCACAACAATGAAGCATTGCTATTGCTAGATGAAAGACCGTTGTGCATCGTTTTTTTTCGAGCAGTGAACATCACTGGTGAGTCATTCTGCATTATTACAAGGCGTATTGTTCCTAAAGCCCAAAAAGCAAGGTGTTTCCCTGCTCGAATATGTTGCTTTGGATATGTATTTGCAGACCACAGTGATCATATACTGCTAGATAACTTTGGATTTGTAATGCAATGCTGTTTAACAAGGTTTTGTGAGATCTAATGTCGTTATCGCATCACTCATGTTCTCCACTTCCATTCCTGCATTACGTTAATTTGTGAATTTGTGATTTCATTGATGGAGTGCATTTGTGTTTGGATCAGGTTTGTGTGTAGTCCGCTGCTACCACTACAATTTATTGTGCCCCACCAGGCTTTCTGTGCCAGAGACGCCACTGCCTATAGCATGTGTGCTGCATACCTGAACATCTCAAGAAGTCAAAGTTACTCAGGGCAGCGTAGCGTCGCATACAGAGAAGAACAGAATGGGCAGTACAGTCTAGGGTCAAACCACAGCTGTTCTGAGGTCAGCAGAGAGCCAGTCACTGCTCACTGTATGGTTTCATCACTTGACGGGCACTGCTAACATAGCTACTAAATCAATTGCAGACAGCAACAATTGCTAAGTAGTGATTGGAGGGTTTAGAAAATACGAAGCTTGGCAGATTTTGATTGGCCATAATACAGTGACAGCGCTCACAGAAAACAAATTTCATCATACTAGAAACGTGGTATAATAAATATTCTGCCTTAATGCTGCTGTTTCTACTTTTAATCTCATGAATGGGCGAAAGTGAAAAAAGCCTTCTGGAACTACTGATGTCCAGACCTTGGAGTCCTCATAATTAGTTAGCCATGCCAATGCGTAATGAAATGCTGCACAGAGTGGCAATGTGAATTGCTAGGGCACAGCACTCAATATAGTGGACTGGGTTGTCAAGAGATATAAGACAAATGATATGTGAGAAGAGAAATGTGATGTCTCTTGTCAGTTCTTACAAAGCAGAACTGAACCGCTTCTAACAACTCCGTTACCACACTGGCCTTGGCAGAGGCTTGCAGTTGACATTTTTCAGTGGTAGACTGGTCACTATCTTGTGGTAGTGGACTATTATTCCAGATATATTGAGGTTGCAAACCTTCTGGTGCTGACAACGGCAAGTACTGTGGAAATATTTTCAGTCATTTTTGCTAGGTTTGGTGCCTCAAAACCTTAGTAACAGACACAGGCCCACAGTTCTCTTTGAATGAATTTACAGAGTTTGCTCAAGATTACGATTTCACTCATGTCACTGGTAACCTTGGAACCCAGAACAACGGTGAGGCTGAGAGACTCCAGACTCCAGAGCAGAGCTCCAAATGGGCAGAAAAACACGATCTACAGTTCCAGTTCCTCCTCAAGCACTAACACCAAGAAAGCCAAATCTACAGGTTTTCAGAAAGACAAACAAGAAGCAACTGAGAAAGAAAACAAATGAAAAGACACTGAGCTAAACAACTACACATCCTGGTTCCAGGATAAAAAGGCTGGTTCAGGACATCTCATGCCTGGGGAACAAGGTTCATTCTCTAAGCCGAGGTCCTACAGTGTGGAGACCGAACTAGGAACTTTGTGAGGAAATAGAGCACAGCTTATTGTCTGCCCAGTGTCAGATCAGCCACCTCACAAGGAGAAAACAAGGTAAGGGAGAATGAAAAATGGACTTGTAAAAATAGTGTAGTAGGACTTGCTGTCAAGAAAAGGGCAGAATAAACAGCAGATTTGAAGGGTTCTGGTAGTCTACCGTGGCCTTCATCTTAGATCAAAGAATGTTTTTTTATAGAGAAAAATGTGAAAATGGAAAACAAAGCAAAGAACAATGTTTATAGTTGTTGAAGATTAAGAACCAATACAGGAATAGAACAGTTGTATATTACTTTCTGTTTGGCATGTTCATAGATAATACAAAGGAAGGTTAATAGCTTAAAGAGGGAGATGTAGAGGAATAACGAGAAATATGACATCCATAATTAGCTTCTAACCATAACAGTGAAAATTTAATGCTAAACAGTAATCAAATAACTCGTACACCAAAAAGCCACGAAAAACTCCAAAGCTGTGGCATCAAATATTTTTTTTTGTTTGCCAGATATGGTGCTCAAGTATACATGTGAATTTAAAAAAAACAAGGCCGTGGTGAGTGAGTCATTTGGTCACTTTTGCCATGTGTAGTTGTTTTTTGACCTACACAAGTTCAAATGTGTTTATAGTAGTCACTGTGTTTAAGGCTCTTTTTAAGTTTTTTGAGTTTTTAAGGCATTCTAGAGAAACTTACTGAGTCAAAACATTTCACAAGGATGGTGATAGGAACCAAGTCTGAAGTATTTAATGGCTTTACAAGTTCCCTTGCAGAAACTTATATGAAATGGTTACGAATACACAGCCTGAAATCTGTGACAATGTTTTATGATAGCTTTGTGATTAGCCTTTTCGTCCGAAACATTTTTTTTATTTCATTCATAATAATGCGAAATACTACCCAAAAGAAAACTTATTTTTAAAAAGATTTAGCACTACTGTGTGATCATCATTACATATAAAAGCTACAATTATAACACATCCACAGCTAAAATATTTTTTCATACTTAAATCTACAGTTGTATGCAAGTTTGAATACCCCTGTTCAAACAGAAAGTGAAAATAAGTTAACACATTCTCTACAGATAACAAACTTTAATATGGTATTTATCTGCAAATTTAATGCTTTTATTTCTTTTTATTTACTGAGTTTAAAATATTGGAAAAAAAACATACAATATAAAATGTGCCATAACTTTAGTACAGGACATATTTTATGTTTCATTTTTTTCACTATGTTAAAATCAGCAAACAGACAGTAATTGTGCATTAAAATGTGCAGAAGTATGTTCTCTGTAGTGGATGTGATTTTCATTTAGAAAATCAGCAAAACATGCAAACTCCCAAACTTTTGCATACAACTGTCATACCTTCCAACACAATGTTCTGCGGGCCTTGGCATAAGTTAATGGCACTTAAATGATTTGATATTTAGTGTCATGTAGGCTAGTAACCTTGAAAAAAACTAATTTTTGAATGGTAGGGTCTTATATATATATATATATATATATATATATATATATATATATATATATACATATAATATAATATAATATTATGTGAAAGTGACTGATTTAAAATGTGACAAAACCACAGCTAATTTGACCAAGCATTAGTGTATGCTTCTGATGTTTGTAATTGTCAAGTGACCGCTTTACGAAATTAGAGTACCACATGACAGGCTTTGCATACTATATAAAAACTGCACAGACACCTTAGGTGCTGCACAGAGACATTTCAGGCAACTGAGAGAAAAGGCGTCTAGTCTCGTATGTACAGATGCTTGTTATTCAGCAATACTTTAGAATTTTCATTCAATTATTGCTAATAATGATAAGCCAGTGTTTAATATGTATTTGTAGCTCACTTCTAGGAGGGATTTTCAAAAGCTGTGGAAAAACATCTATGTAGATGCTTAATAAATGTATTATTATTGTTTTTATAAGGAGGAATGGACAACATCTCCTCGGCAGACATATTCACTCTCACTGCTCTTAGTGAGACTGACTGGACCAGCAAATTCATCATATTTATTTTTGCCCTGCCAGGATATTTTCTGACTGTTATTCTCAACTCAACTTTAGTTACGATCATTGTTCTGGAGAAAACCCTACACCAACCTATGTACATTTTCTTGTGTAATTTGTGTATTAGTGAATTATATGGAGCCACAGGATTTTATCCAAAGCTCCTATCTGACTTACTGCTAGGAAACAATCTGATCTCATTCCAGGAATGTGTCTTTCAAAATTTTGTCATTTTCACCTATGCCTTGAGTGAATTTACTAATCTAACAGTAATGGCTTTTGATAGATACATAGCAATATGCAGTCCCCTGAGCTACCACAGTATCATGACCACTTTAACTGTTTGGAAGTTTGTGGTTTTCATCTGGATGTTTCCCTGCTGTTCAGCATTAATGATGATTTTAATGACACTAAGGTTTCCTATCTGTAAAACGCAGATTAACAAATTGGTCTGTGACCACATGTCCATGGAGAGACTTGCTTGCAACACCGACACGACTCAGTTTGTGCTTAATGGATTATTCACTGGCATATTTTGTGGTTTTGTTTTCTTTTTCTTTTATTCTTATACTAGAATAATTATAGTGTGCAAGCAATCTAAACAAGGTCAGAAGTTTAGGAGCACATGCCTGCCACATTTGATTGGGTTTTTGAACTACATAGTCTGCTCCCTTTTTGATGCTTTTCACACTCGCTTTGGATCAACATATGCCTCACAGGCACTTCAAAACTTCATGTCAATCACATATCTGATTATTCCTCCTTTTGTAAACCCCATGATGTATGGAATTATACTGAGTCCAATTAGGGTTAAAATTATCTACATCTCCCAAAGATTAAGATCTAAAATAACCAACAGAGTAACATACTAATGATCTTCTGCAAAAAAAGCTTATGACAGTATCATTAATGACTAAGAAGGGGCATATACCATACCAACCATAGTTTACAGCAATCTAAATGCCCAGCAAAGTCTAACTATAATCAACTATTCACTGACAATTCAAAGGTCATACATAATTGAGTTTTGTTCTGTTTAATTAGGAGATTAAAATGTTTATTTATTGATGTTTTTCTATGTGTGGCAGAGCATCTGCTTGCTAAATGACAAAGCATATAACTACACATGTTGAGGCTCAGATGAGATTTCACCATTTTTTCTTATATGTACAAACTATATGCTCTAATACAATGCTGTTATGATCATCTATGCCCATCCTGATACAAATACAGAAATAATTTAATTATAAAAAGGCACTTTCACAAGCCTGCTTTTTTTCTTTTCATGATAAAGCCTATGGGAGAGCAGCATGTTTCATTGTTGAACTGCACAAGGCCTGCCTTCTGGTTGGCAGCTCCTCAACACCTTTAAGTCCTAAATTGTCACAATCAGACATATACATATGGTAAAAAACAAACGTTTACTGTGCATGTAATCAGGGTCCCGGCAGATCCTTAAAAAGTTATAAAACGTCTTAAATTTAGTTTTTGACATTCAAGGTCTAAAAATGTTTTAAAATGTCTGTAATCGTAGGAGGGAAGGCATTAAATTTGATCTGGGGTACAACAAATGAGCATGTCTCTTTTTCTTATGTTCTTACAATCTATTTTTTACGAGTATTTAACATCCCACAAAAATGACCATTTCTGCATTGTCCAATAGGGCTTGGGAATGTGATGCAGTGTTTAATGGAAGATCCACCATCGTGGATCAAACTTTTCTACCTGCTTTCCTTGATTTTGGCTGATCTGTAGCTTACTGATCAAGCAAGCAAGCAAAGTTTATTTATATAGCGCTTTTTACAACAGGTGTTGTCACAAAGCAGCTTTACAGAAAGAAAAAAAATCGGCATTACAGAAAGAAAATCCGGGTCTGAGCCCCCATAAGCAAGCCAGTGGTGACAGTGGCAAGGAAAAACTCCCTAAGAGCAAGAGGAAGAAACCTTGAGAGGAACCAAGCCTCAGAAGGGACACCGGATAGCAAACATTTTTAGTAGAGGTATTATAGTACAAAGCGGGAAAAACAGGTGGGGCAATGGTTAATTTGATTAGTTTATGATTATGCAGCAGCAGCGGCAGCGGCAGCAGCAGCATCTGAGGGTGAGGATTGCACAGCGTTGTACAGCGTGAAGCTCAATGGTGGTCAAGCCGGTCCAGAAGGCTGGCGAGCAGTGGCACCCGATCAAGACAGAAGAGGCAACAGCATCAGACGCACAGGATGGGCAGCTGTTCAACTTGGCAAAGAAAGGAAACAGACAGAGAGTCAGTTCTGTAATGAGTGACTGATCACAGATTACAGTATTAACGGAGCAGCAGAGACTCCGTCAGGTCTGGATCTGACAGGGAAAACTAATTACCAAAGGCTTGACTATACAAGTAAGTTTTTAGCCTAGACTTAAGAACTGAGGCTGTGTCCGAGTCCCGAACATTAACAGGAAGATTATTCCCAAGCTGGGGGGCTTTGTATGAGATGGCTCTCCCCCCTGATGTAACTTTATTAATTCTAGGTACTAGTAGTAAGCCAGCACCTTGTGATCTAAGTAGGCGTGATGGTTCATAGTAGGAGAGAAGTTTACTCAGGTACTGAGGGGCGAGTCCGTTTAGTGCTTTGTAAGTCAGTAAGAGAATTTTATAATCAATGCGAAATTTAATTGGTAACCAGTGTAAGGCTGATAAAACTGGGCTGATATGGTCGAACTTTCTGGTTCTTGTAAGGACTGTGGCTGCAGCGTTCTGGACTAGCTGAAGCTTGTTAAGGCTTTTGCTGGGACATCCAGCCAGCAGGGCATTACAGTAATCTAGCCTTGAAGTAATAAATGCATGAACTAACTTTTCTGCATCCTGTAGAGAACGCATTTCTTAATTTTGCAATATTGCGGAGATGCAGGAAGGCTGTTCTAGTAATATTAGTTATATGTGTGTCGAAGGACAGATTAGGGTCTATCACAACACCAAGATTTTTTACAGATGAGCTTGATGCAAATAAGAAATTGTTAAGTTTAAGTGTAAAATTAGAAGTTAGAAGAAATTTGCAGTTTAGTTCTAGCTGTTTTAGGGCCAAGAAGCAGAACCTCTGTTTTATCCGAGTTTAGAAGGAGAAAGTTACTCAACATCCATATGTCTTTTATACAGTCTTCAATCTTGCTAAGTTTAATTTTATCGTCCGGTTCGCTTGATATATATATAACTGAGTGTCATCGGCATAGCAGTGGAAATGTATGCCGTGTTTACTGATAATGGTGCCCAGTGGTAGCATATATATTGTGAATATTATAGGTCCTAAAACAGAGCCTTGTGGAACACCATACTTTACTTTTGCAAGGACAGATGACTCACGGTTTACATTAACATACTGATCTGTTGTGGTCTCACTAAATACATTTGCAGAGATGAATAGCATCTGGATATATATGACCAACAGGTCACAGTTCAGAGTACAATAAAAAAAACAGATTGGAAAGGAAGGTTTAAGATTCAGATGCAGTTCCATTCAGATGCAGCTCTGGTTAAATAGCACATATGAAGTATTGCAGTGAGAGTGTGGATAAACATATAACAAATACATACAAACAACATAACAAATTCAGGCTTAATTTATTGATCTTAACATATAGATTTCATGGAATAAAACTTTTATCATCATTTTGTGGAATTATTACGTTTCAAAGCAGCTAACTAACTTCACAAATGCCTCATGGGTGCCTGGATGAAATTGCTGCTCCATTCAAGGTGAAGCAGAAAATTGGAATAAGAAGCTGAGAAGTAAGAAGCAAATCTCGCCATTGTGGTGAGGTTTGCTGTGATACCATTACTGATCAACTAACGTAACGTTTACATTTCAAAATGGCCTGTGATTCAGCTAAAAAGGAGCTATGTGGTCCAAGGTTTGTAATGTTAACCTCTGCTAATAATGTTAGCTAAGCTGCCAGACAATTAGTGTTTATTTTCTGTTTTTCTGAAAGACTTTAGGTTGACTGCCTTTTCATTATACATCTAAGATTCATGTGATCTTATATGGATTTTTGCAGGGCTTATTAATGTACACAAATATGGTAAACAAATATGCCTGTAGCTGATGAGGCAGTAAGCTGACTAGCTAGCTGAGTGAAATCTGCTGTTGGCTGAGAAAAATATGGCAGCAAGTTATCAAAGTTAAATCTGCTGAGGGAAATAACCGTTTGTAAGATGTACAAGTTCAAGTGAGTTAAAACTTTAGACCTATTTAAAGGAACATGCACATAAGCCTCACACCAGCTAGGAAAAAAGTGTGAATGGAAGAGGAGGTAATGTTAGAATGTTCAGATCATTACTTCACTCATTGTTTGGGAGTTTGCGTGGATCATGGCGTCAGCAAGGCTAATTTTATAATAATATAGTTGGTTAATGTTCCTCTAGAGTTGGTTAAGATATACACCATTTTATTTAATTCAATACCAATCATGACAAGCCTGAAAAAAAAAATAAAACAACAACTCTTTAAGCTTCCACAGTGTACTTGAGTATTTGCATCATGTAAACAAAGAACAAACCCTGTCAACATGGCGGAATGATTCTATAATGCAGCACTACATGATGTACCTTTCCAAGCCCTATACCAGAATACATTAAATCAGAGGGGATACATGAAGCCCTCTTTGCCTATACCTACAGTATTTGTTTGTACATTAAATATGTAATATACACTCTGCTTCGTAGGAGGCAGTAGTACACCTTGTGTGGCTGTGATCTGCATTTTAAACTAGAAGAAGAACATGTTTATGCAGCTTCTGATTTGAGGGCTAGTTTGGCTTGTGACTACCCAATTTTGAACTGTAAACCCGATTTGAACTACGCATGCGCCCAAATCAGTCCAAATCAGGCAATCAGGCAGCAGCTGTCCAACAGTAGCAGAAATTACATCCATTTTCATGCATGCATAGTGCAAATTGTTTTTTTGGTTCAAATCAGGTAGTGACATGGCTGTACATACTAGAGTTGAATTGCCTGCTTTGAGTATTGCTATATATATATATATATATATATATATAATATATATATATATATATATATATATACTTCCTCATTTCATTACCCTCAGTCCAATGGTGAGGCAGAAAGGGCGATACAAACAGCAACTACACAGCAGAACCCACAGAACCAACAGACTGTCTAACAAAACTACAATCTGTTTGAGTAACATTGTAAAATACTCCATATAAACACACATAAGCACAGACATCAACTGAATTCTGTAGTAAGGGGAGCAAATATTGAAACCATTTGGGCTGTTAATTGGATAATTATTATGATTTTCCACTACAGCTACTGTTAAAGTCTGTGTAAAGCAGAAATAAATATGTGAAATATTGTGAATAAATTAGACGTTTTCTTATACCGTTATAGTGTTAGGGGTGGAGTCATGCTAAGTATGGCTCCTGTGCATCGCTGAACCATGATTTTAGCCCATTTTAGCTGCTCATGGTGCTGTCATATTTTTATAGCTTATATTCAACTCATGAGAAAACTGGAGCCCTTGATTAGCACATGGGTAGGACATTGGTCACTCATACACTGGGACCTAGAGGAGCAGGGCTTGAGCCCGACCTCAGGTCAGTAAACTACATGTGAGTGGATGAGAGTAGACTCAATACTGACTCTTATACTCAACCTCCACAGACAGAGGAAAAGGTGAAATGACATAGGGACATATGGAAGGAAATGATATATAGTCATATCACAACAGAATTCAACTGGAAATATGGAAACACTCAATGAAGGAACCAACTGAAGAGAAATAAAATAAAAAAAGGTAAAATGTACTGTTTGTGGTAATGTTCACAGGAGACTCTGCTAAAGACAAACACCTAGTGCTATGAGTGACCAGTGCCTGATT